CACTGTTCCTTCTTTCCCTTTGACACTGGGAGGGATTTGGGGAGCAGGTGTTGGACGGGGAGGGCTCAGGGGGGGCGGCTGGGAGTGGGTTTTTGCCCTCAGTGTGGGTTTTGAGCATCATTTGAAAGAGTCTGTGAGCCTCTGGATCCCCTCTGCTGGGCTCTGCCTCCTGGACTGGGGGGTTATTTAGGCACTCACCTCGTGTTAAGGTGCAAAGGGGTTCAGGCACCAAAACATCTCCATAGGTTGGTTGGACGGGGAGGGCTCAGGGGGGGCGGCTGGGAGTGGGTTTTTGCCCTCAGTGTGGGTTTTGAGCATCATTTGAAAGAGTCTGTGAGCCTCTGGATCCCCTCTGCTGGGCTCTGCCTCCTGGACTGGGGGGTTATTTAGGCACTCACCTCGTGTTAAGGTGCAAAGGGGTTCAGGCACCAAAACATCTCCATAGGTTGATGTTCCTCCCCCCAATATTTGTAAAAAAAACTCTCTACCCTTCGTCAAAATTAAACTCCTTTGGGTTTCAGGAGAGCAGGCAGCTCAGCGGAGCGGAGACCCTGCTCATGCTGGCACTGAGATGGAGACGGTGGCTGCCGCTGCTCAGCCCCATTAGCCATCAGAGACTCCACACCCCGGGGGTCCCCGGCACTGAGGCTCTCCGACCTTCTGCATCACTACGTCTCTTGTGTTGGGACATGCAAGACAGCAGCAGTTTGTCTCTCCCATTGCCGTTGCTGCTGTTGCCATGCCGTGGATGTGCTACGGGTGGGTGGCAGCAGCAAGGCGTGGGCTCCTGGGGGCCAGCACCCAGCTCCGAGCTGTTTTGGGGACCACCAGTGTGGACGTCTCTCCGTGTTCCAGCCCTCCTAGCCCTTGCCACGGGGAAGGTCTCTGTATCGGCTGTTGAGCCCAGGAGAGAGCCCAGCAGCACAGAGGGAAGAGGTAACTAGTAAAGCCTTGCACCAAACCAGCACCGTCAGCTCCCTTATTGATTCCCAAACGGATGGCAGAGGAGCTTTCTAGAAAAGGCTGTGAAGTGATTTACGGCTCATGAGAGGGAAGGACCTGTGATGTCAAACCTCACAAGCGAGGTCATCACCGCGCTGGCGATGCGGTAAATGAGGAGGGCCGGTGGGATGCAGGGTAGCTTTCCCGGAGCAGCTCCTGCCCGAAGGTCCCGCGGTCCCGAGGGGCAGAGAACAGCGGAGAGATACACACCGGTGCTGGGAACCCGATGGAGCAGCACATCTCAGCGAGGACCCCAGGGGTGAAGCTTGAAGCAGCCCGGGCTTCTGTCTGGGGAGATTTAAAACTCCACGGAAAGGGGGAAATAAAAGGGAAAAGGTGCCACTTCGATTCGGGATTAAAACTTCTTGTGCTCTAAATGGAGTTGACCTCTGTGGCAGGGGAAATCAGGAGGTGGGTGTGAGGTTTTGGCCAACGTGTTGCCCTCTCCGAGCATCTCTGCTTGCCCTTCATCCTCCCTCCACCCGGTCCCCAGCTGGGCTGGGGGGACAGTCCTGGGGACACTGTTCCCTCACGTGGATGCGACTTGTCCAGATGTGTCCCCAGCTGTGGCCTGGCAGGAAAACCCTGTGGAGCAGGCAGGGGTTTGGGTCTGATGGAGGGAAAATGAGGTGTCCCAGGGTTTCACGTTGCAGCTGCTCGGGCTGCTGGGGAAAAGAAGCAGCAAAAAGCACGTTTGCTGGCTGAGTGGCCCCAAGCCATGAGCCACAGCAGCTCCCCCCCTCTCTGAGCTGCCATGGGGCAGTCAGCCCCAAACCTCAGCCCCTCACACACGTTCCTAAGAAGATCCTTGCCAACACCAGCTGGTTTTAATTCCCCCAGATTTTTTCAGACACACTGGAAAACGATGTGTGCTGCCTATTTTCTGTAAAGGACCTGCATTTTTCCCCCTCCCTTAGGCAAAAGTGATGACGAGGACAGCATCTGCAAACTGGGCCAAGCCTCGGGGAAGGGAGCGGAGGATGGAAAGGATCACAAGCGGCCCAAGAGGCCCCGGACGATCCTGACCACGCAGCAGCGCAGGGCATTCAAGGCATCGTTTGAGGTCTCCTCCAAGCCCTGCAGGAAGGTATGGGGAGAAGGACCCATGCTCAGCCCCTGGGGATGTCCTGGGTGCTGGGTGAGGACTTGCCCTGGCTGCTCTGACCCCTCCTAAAGTCCCCCCCAAAAAAAGCTGAGGGGGCTGAGACGCTGCTGTCATTCCTCTCTCCAAGGT